GAGATACTAGTTTATGTAATTTGGCAAAGTGATTCCATTTATAGCTGCTATTTTTACTAGTTAGTTCTCTTTTTCTTTTAGGATCAGTTTCAGCCGCCTGTTTTAATCCTTCTTTTCCTTTTTGAACACATTATTCTTCCTAAATTCCTTATGTATCCATTTATAATTAGGTAATACTTATTTATGATTTTAATTATTTATTTTTAATTTGATTATTATAATTTATTTAATTTTATTTTTTGCTTTTGATTTAATTTAAGACAGTTTTAAAAAGATATTTTATTTATTTTTAATTAGATATTTTATTTATTTTTAATTTAAGACTGTCTTAAAATTAAATTATTTTCTATAAAAAGTCAAGTCAAAAATAAATAAATTAATTAAAATATAATATTAAATTAAAAATAAAAAGATATTAAATGGATTAACAAATTTAGTAACAATAATAACCATAAGCATTATAAGCCTAATACTAAAAAGAACAGGCAAACTAACTAATCAAATAATTACATGCCATATACTCACAACAGTTAATAACTATTTCAGATCATTTAGCTGATTCAAATCTAGACAACCTAATAACCACTTTACAACAGATACAATAATAAACATAGTAACATATTGTATAAGCCCAACAATTACAATATTAATAAACTTAGCGAATTAGTCATCAAATACAAAACCAAACTGTATGTATAAATCAAATAATAACAAATTTGAAATAGTAAATTGATTTAGATAAGTCAGGTCAAAGTTAAGTACTAGTTCGAATAGTCAGATAGTTCTAAATCGATTTTAATGAGTGGCTGCATCATTAAACAAACAACATCATAGTCATATCTATGCCAACAGGAACAGGCAAATCGCACCTGGCTCTTCAGAACAAAAGGAAGTGCTTTATATTCACATGTAATCATATTTAGACATAGTAGTACATGGAGAAAGCTAGTATCTAAGGAGTAGTTGCCTAGATTTGGACATCTCATTCAAATATCTGTCCAACTCCAGATAAGACTTGTTTTTGGAATTTAAAATAAAGAACAGGGTAAGATTCAATTAAGAATAAAACAATAAAGTAATTAAGAGAGAGTGATGAATGTGTTTAGCGTGAATTATCGATGCTAGGTGCTCAGTTTGTAGTTGGTAACTATGTATATCTAACCAAAAAGTATCAGTCAAAATAAAACTAAAAGGATAATGAATGTTAAGAAATGTACAAAATATTAACAGTTGGAAATGAATAAGCTATGAGTTAGCATCGAAATGTAGCTTATTTGAATCAGTTTGAATATGATATTGTACTCGATGAATCACACTTCATAATTGATAAATTAAACCATAGGAACACTTTTACTGTTCAGCTAGATTAATAAACTTTGTTGAAATATGAAACTTAGTTAGTTAACCGTAAAGGTAATCAATGGTCACTTCCATATCAAGTAATGTATAAACTACAATCTATAAATTACCTCTTATCTAATGCAATTGATGCTTATAAGCATGAATGTATATCTATATTTAAAGGTTACTTGGAATCAGAATAATAAGACAGCTTTGAGATTAAAGGAATTGATGTGGTAGATAATCTCTACACAGAACATTCAATATATTTTATGAAAAGCGTTATCAAGTACTACTAATAAACCGGCACTTGTAACTTTGAGGTTATGTGTAATGAAAAGTCAGTTGTTAAGTTCTTTTGGTGTGAATTATCGTTATAGACTGAATATGATACAGAAGAGACTTTCGAATTATTAAATTCTGCTGCAAATATAATTCTAATGACTGCTTCTAAATTGTAATTAAGTACAATTAAAAATGTATTCGCTAAATAGCTATCTCGATAAAGAAATCTAATAGAAATTGATTTAATGAATGAATTACCATAATCTACGCTGAATGTGAAGTGTTATGATTTAGCTTAGAGTGTACAATAACTAAGCGATTATAGAGAACATCTAGAAATAGATTTAGCCGCTTAAATGATTGAAACATTCAAAAATAACGACATAAAGACTAATATATTAATTTTGTATTCTTCGTTTAAGATTGTAGAAATCAAGAAATAAAATTTGTTGTTGTAAAGTACGTGGAAATATAGCTAGTTCTTGTTTGAAAGTGCATCATCTGAGTTTGATAGAGAATAAACATAATCAATTTATTTAATCGAATAGATATGTTAAGCTAAGGAACCACTTATTATATTAGCTTCTTAATTTGGCAGATTTCTAGAAGGAATAGACCTTCCAAATGATCAACTACGTGCTATTCTTGTAATAGATAAAGTCAGAGCACACCCTAATTAGAATCAAGCTTATCTAATGAACATGACAAATGAAGTATTTGCACGATATAAGATGAGTTAAATAAAAGGAAGGTTATAAAGGGGTTACTAAGACTGGGGAATATTGATACATTTCAACAACGATAATTAATTTGACTTCGAAACGATATAACCTAAAAATGTCAAGACTGAATAAATTAAAATAATAAAAAAATTTAAAAATTGATAATTAATTAAATTTAAAAATTGATATTAATTATATATTTTGTTTTGTTTTATTCATAATAAAAATAAATTTTAATATTCTTTTTTTTTATTTTAACTTAGATTTTTTAATCCACTAAAGTTCTTAAAAGTACTGCGCCTCATTCCGGATAATAACTATATTTATGAAATATGTAATAGCACTTGTTATTAATCGTGTTTGAGTGGATAACTAAGTGAATAATAAAGATTTAATGCTTCTACTATTAATTTATCATCAGTGCTTATTATTTAAGACTAATCTTTACTTGAATCTATGTTCAGCATTGAAGTCAAACTGTCTTTAAACTTAGACTTGTTCTGTACTATAACCCACTTTAAAAACATATAAGCTAAGTTCTAATCTAATCGATATTCTTAAATATGTAAGGCAGTAAGATATATTCTTTAACTATTTAACTTTCTTTTTTTTTGTTTTTCCATATTGCCTTAATCTAACACCTAATTTATTATATGATTGAGAGATTCGATATCTTATTTATATTAAGCGGTTATATCAGAATCTAGGTAGGTTGATTATGTTTTAGCAATCTTCTCAAATTCTATCCAAAATGCTGTTCGCTTTAATAAATTCATTTGAGGATTTGTTAAGCTCGTACCTTTTTTATTTCCAGGTCTCTTTTCTACATTTGATACATCTAATTCAACATCCGGGATATTTTAATAGTTTACTTCTTAGTGATTAATTGATTATGTCACACATGAAATTATTTCTTCACGGATAATTGGTTATATTCTCATCATTATCTTATTTGTTACTTGATCGATTAA